TGGCCGTGGGTAGCAGCTATTCCCGATAAATTTTACTTTTAATCAGATATGCATCGCGTGGAGAACCGTGTATAAGAATGCACGGAGAGTTCAAGTGTATCTGTGACACAACGCCACGAATGACTCGAGAGTCGATTACTCATTGCTGTAGAACGTGTGAATAAATTATATTCAATATCGTGTATATGAATCATGCGCTCGGTTCACCGATGCCTTCGAGAACGTTAATTTTTCTAATCGAATTACGATTCATTCATCCGGTCCTCGACGTTAAGGTAAACTCGTTTACACGCTCGGTTTCAACCATTTTGCCACATTTCACGGATACCGGAATTCAAAGTTCCGTTTCCCGCGTTGCGAAAAATATCGAAACGATTGCGATCTCGGGGAACTGATTGAGCAACCAATTAAACGTAGAAAAACTATGTAATTTAAACGAAAAACTCTTAACCCGATTTAATTAAAACATCGTAATCGAATAACAAATCCTGAACCCTTTCATCTATAAACTTCGTTAAACATCGAGTTCAACGAAAGAAAAGAAAGAAGAGAAACTTTATTTCTAATCGAGAGAGAGAAATTTCAACGAAATTTGAGACGAGAAAAGATATTATCCAAGAAGAATTTAAAAAAAAAATTCGATAATAAAACTGGAAAATCACTGGGGAAATGTCATTGGAAAATCACCATGATCACATGTAAAAAACAGAAAATTCCTGGGAAGAGAAAAAGCAAGGTACCAAATAGCTGGATGTACACCGTTCGATAAATGTCACGGGTGTTGCAATCAAGTGTCAGAGTTGCATCCCGAGGAATGGCAACGGAATGGCAATTTCATATGCAAATACGGACAACATAGGGAGATCGTCAAGACGACAGGAAATATCCTAGAGACGCGCAATGTAGAACGGTTGCTTGTGCGACAAAAGGCCAGGTACGAGAGCGCCTATTATTCGTGCATGGCACAACGGCGTGTTACGTAACTTGCTTGGCTGGCACAATTACCAGGGTGGACAACGTTATAGGTGCCTTACATGGAAAACGGCCCTCGTGACACAAATCTCGATTGCGCACGCGTTACGTTATGGCTCGCACCTTTTCGCACCTCTGCGTATCGAGGCGCCACTTTGGAAACGATTGAAAAAGTTGTTTTGGATTTATTGATGAATATCTATGTCGTGGTACAGTTTAGAATGAACGTGTGTTTAGCGGTGTGAGATTTAATCCTTTGTTGTGTCGAGTTTACGAACGGGTGAAATTGATTAAAAGATAAATAAAGATTTTAGAACCTAGAGATCCTTCTATAAATTTGTAGATGAAGAATTTTTGTTTAAAATCTTGCTAGGATTTTATTGAATTTTAGAACCTAGAGATCCTTCTATAAATTAAAAAGAATTTTTGTTTAAAAATCTTGCTAGAATTTTATTGAATTTTAGAATCTAGAAGAAGTTTTGTTTAAAAATCTTGCTAGAATTTTATTGAATTTTAGAACCTAGAGATCCTTTTATAAATTTGTAAAAAAAGAATTTTTGTTTAAAAATCTTGCTAGAATTTTAGAACCTAGAAGAATTTAAGAATGTAAGAAGAATTTATGTTTAAAAATCTTGTTAGAATTTTATTGAATTTTAAAACCTAAAGATGCTTCTATAAATTTGTGGAAGAAGAATTTTTGTTTAAAAATCTTAAAAATCTAGAATTTTATTGAATTTTAGAACCTAGAGATCCTTTTACAAATTTGTAAAAGAAGAATTTTTAAAAATCTTGCTAGAATTTTACTGAATAAATCGATAAACTTTGTGAAAAAATGTGATTAAGGAGATGCGTAAAGGAATAATAAGGGCAAAGGCGACGCAAAGAATCGTGTGACTGCGGGTAATCGTTGGAAACGGATAAGTATATAGTATCGGCTAAAGAACCACAAGGTCTCCTACTTTTTCCAATGACGTCTAACCGGAGAAATTTTCCGAGACTAGTCTTATTGGATTCAGTAAGCATGGGCAGGAATCGCGAGAATGGCTTCGGAAGTAGTGCCGGCTCCCGATGCTGGCGCAGAGAACGAAACCTTACTTCGACCGCATTACTCGAATTCCAACGAAGGCCGAAACGAGATTCCCGCTTTTTCTCTTCGGCTTGTCCACTCTCGTAAAGATATCGACAGCGTGCCACGACCAACGAATTGAAACGTCTCACGACTCATCGATCGAAAACCTCGAGAACCTCGATCGATCGAAAGAAATTCGGTGGAAGAATTGGTGCGGATGTACTTTTCTCAAAAACTAGATTCGAAAATTGATATTCGCTTAAGAAATCTGCCGGATTAATAGTTTTGTTATGAATTTTTAAATAATTTAGAAAATGCAATGTAGAAGGAAAAATGTAGAAGATGAGCATTTGAAAGGAGTTAATTGATGAAGAGAGGAAAGCTGCGTATGCAACACGACACTAGGAAGTAATTAACGTAACGAGGGAGATGATTAATATAGTTAAGACGATATATTTTCCTAGACGAAGGAAATTCTTGAGAAATTATAAGTGGAACGGTTTCTTAATTCAACGTGAATCCCTATAAGATAATTCTTAATAATTTTCTATAGAATTGTAATAATTAAAAATGGACGTACATTATCCATAGATACATTAGACTACGAATTTAGAATATTTTCAAAAAATTGTTCTCTTTCTACAAAATAGAGTTTCCATTTCCAACGATTCTTTTGATCTTTACACACTGCAATATTCCCATTAATCGAATGCTATTGCATTTTCATTCACCACAGTTCCTCGCTTCTCCATCGTTAAAATTCGAAAGAATATTAATCATAAGCGATAATAAATAAAAGAAGAACGAAATATGCGTTCCCAATTCGAAAGGAAAGGCTCAGATTAATAAATGTTAAAGAAACAATATCGTTTCTTTGCATAATTCTCAAGGCGCATGTGTAACGCGTGAAGAAAATTCGACGCATGCGCGACACAGGGTTGTAAAATTACACACGGGTTAAGATAGGTATGGTGAGGTTCGGAGATGCATTGTGGGACAAGGTCGGTTCACCGTGGCTATGCAGTCGGGTCACGCTACGCTGACCACCCCTTTTACTGCTAGCTGTTAAATTACTTCGAGTCGAGACCACGCGAATTAACGACGCTTCCGCCCGTTTTCCTTCGTCGATATTTTCTCACGCGAATATCTCGAAAGTTTCTACGCTATCCTTTATCGTAGAAAGTACGAAAATAAAAACTTTTGAGTTATAAACAAAATTTCTCTCGTTAATGCGAAATCTATTTAATCTTCGAAATGTAGAATTGAAATCGTAATTAGAGTTTAAATTATGTCTTGTTATAAATAGAAAACTGCAATTGCAAAGAGTGATATTACGAGGCAAGGATTAAAATCATTTACAAAAACTTCGAGATAAAGTTGAAGAACTGTTTCCTAAAAAGTAAAGATGAAAAAAGAATAAAACCTTGAAATATTTCTACGTTTCGACAGACACGATATTTTTATCTCGATACGATGATAGCAAAAATAATATAGATTTCTTATCGCATTCTTATTTTATATAACTGATAACTCGTCGAGAGTAATATATTCGCGAATCCAAGCTAAACGTTTGAAATTGGAAAATAAAAACGTACATGTAAAAAATTTAAAATCGACTCGATAATTTAAATACTTCGAGTATATAACTATATGAATAATTTATACATTTAAAAACAATTTTAACAAAAAACAAATAAATAATGAAATACGGTTCAGACATAGGCATACGATCACCAGCATAATGAGCATAATTTACAGGCATAAATATATCACACGTATGTAAACGTGTAGCGACAATTGTTTTACGGTTCTCGAGTTTCCACCTTCTTCTTCATATTTTATTCCTAGCTCCCGGTTACTCGTTTTACGCTACCGTGACATTTTTCTGTCTCTCTCGCGAACTTAAAATTACGTCGCGTTGTCAAAGCGGACGAAAGCGAAAGGAATAATTAATCTGAAATCTGAAAAAAATTCGAATCTCGCTATCTCGCTTCGCGAATACGAATAAAATACGATTTTAGGATTCTCGTCGTTTAGAATAACGTGGGAATTGGCGGAATCGGAGAAACCGGAGAACTCTATACACTCGGACTAATGATCGGCAATTAGAGAAAGGACCGACGACGATCATGACGAGAGTGCAAAGTTGGTCTGAGGTGAACCGCAGAGCCCGCGACTTCTCTAAATAAAGAAGAACGAGGCGAAAGGGAAGTGAGTCACTCGTGGTGTACCGATGACGATGAGGATGACATCATTTCTCCGGGACGAGTTTGAAATTCGGCGAATACACGGCCATTCGGGGTGGAGGGGGATCGAAGGAAGGAAGGAAGCGAATTTCCACTGATGAGACGTGGAAGCATAGCTCTCGATCCAATCGGTTCTCCAATCACGAGGAAAGATCGAAGCAAGTAAAAAAAAAAGATAGTGCTTTATATGGAAGTGAAAATATTAAATATTAAAAAAAAAAAATGAAAAATAAATAAAGAAAGGAAATGAGATTACATCGGAGTCACTATCACTACGAAAAATCGCATCGCTTTTCTGCTTCTGTAAGGTTTAACCCTTAAAAATTCGCATGACGATGATTCGAGCGAAACAATGACTTCCAACAACGTTTCTAAGAATATCAAATTCCAAAGGTTATTAATACCGACTTAATTATAATCTCAATTTGCAATTTACTCGCAATGCTTTCATCCTCGGGAAACTGTTCTTCGTTTTCATACGATTTCCGCACGCGCCCCTATCGAGTATCGCCATCACGATCGGCCGCTGAAACGTTTTAATTAAAGCGGCCGAGGAGAATCGCGCAGGAATC